GACCGCATTGCCTGCCATATGGCTAACAATGTTGTTATTGTTGGCAAATGGTAAAGCCGGGCATTCGGATGCACTGGCCCGGAAGCCGCAGCCGGCAATCGGGAGAGCGACTTGAGAATGCACTTGACTTGAAATGAAAGAATCAGCCAAGAGCACGGCGCAAAAAAATTTGCATAAAGAAATAAGAGGGAGCCACCCGCACACACACACACACACACACGCAAAGCGAACAAAAAGTTTTCTCTTTTGTTTGGCAAAGAGATGTGCAAATTTTTCTGCTCTGCGCTGCTCTCTCTCTCTCTTTTTTTCGCAGATTGCATACAATTGCGGTAAAGGTGCTATGAGTATACCTAGATGTTTGCAACGCAAATTTCGGCTGGTATTATCATACATTTTTCCTGGAAACAATCTGACGCAAGCAAATTGGAATATTTCAATCGAATTTAATAACCTCTAGACCGCTCAGACAAAACCACAAAGCTTTGTGAGGTCATTTTTTGGCTATTTTAATGACTTTAATGCCAGCGTGCATGGATGTGTGTTGCATTCGATTTGTCTTAAATCGTGGGGAATAACTAAATTTGCGTTAGAGGCTGCAGGCAACAGGCAGCAGCTACACTGAGACGCGACCAACTGTTTCTGTCTGTTCTCGGTAATTGTATTAACTACACAGAGAGAGACTGGTGGAGCGAGAGAGAGAGAGAGAGAGAGAGAGAGAGTGGGGGAGTGAGTGTATCCGCGTGAGTGTGGCCCTGAGAGTGAGTGTATCAGCGAAAGTGGTGTGGGAGGGGGGAGGGCGCAGCATCAGCTGCCACAACTAATTAGCAGGGGCCCACATGCATAGGCAAACTGCGTTAATGGAGTGCGTAATGGGTTAATTTTGGCCTGGCAATTCTCTTTCGCTCTCTTGCGCTCTCCCGCATTATCCCTCCACACTGCCCTGCCGTCTGTCAATGTTTGCACTTTTGTTTAGCCTGAGCCGCCACTGCGTGGGTGGCTAGTGTGCGGGGGAGGATGGACGTGGGCGGCAGCTATAACGTGGAACGTGTCGACGTCACATCCAGTGATGGAAGCGGAGGAAGTGACAGTGTTAGTGGCGGTGCCAGCAACGAAGTCACAGATCCTCTGCGTTGACGACAGCTTAATCACATCGTGTCCAATCAGGCGAGCTAATCCCTCTGACAGGCTGCGCCGCTGCCGCTGCCGCTGCTGCGCTTCGCTCTTAACTTTGATATTTTCTCTTCCACACTTCTTGCCCACTCTCTAACGGTACAGGGTACTCTGGCTTTGGGTACTGCTTGCATTTCCATATGTAGGCAGCAATTTGTGTGGTGTGTTTGTGCGTGTGTGTGTGAGCCATCCAACCCTCGGTGTGAGGGTATCAAAACTTCGACAAAAAGGGAGGATAGGAGAATGCCTGTCCTCTGATTATTATTACTATTATGGATGTAAACCTCGCAACATCTGCTGCATATCAATTTTTGGCCTCCATCCGAGCGCTTAACCTGATCCATGTCAGGTCAGGCCTCTGCCGAAACAGCCAACAGCCACCCCAGCCCACTGTTGGCTGGGCCAAAGTTTTTTGGGTTATTGGGCTTAGGCGGCTAAGCCCCGTTCCGGACATTGGCAATTTGCATTTCCCGATTCGACATCATCGACATTTCCTAGTGGCCAATTATCGCTTAAGCTCTACGCTCTGCGCTTTGCGCTGCTCTGCGCTGCGCTGCTCTGCACTCCAGCCACACGTTTTCCATGGGCCTTTAAAGCTTTGGGCGCTGGGGCTGTCACAGGGGTAACGGAATGGACAATCCCTGAGCCTGTTTAAAAATTCGTTTAAATTCCATTGGCAAAAGTGCCGGATCCCCTTGGTTCCGTCCGCAAGTTGCAAAGTCAAAGCAAAGTGGAAAAATACGAGCAAAGGCTGGGAAAATATGCAGTAACCGCGAAATTGAAATTTTGGCTTCGCCTGCCGCGGCGGCGGCGGCGGCGGCGGCGGCTTCTTTGCATTGTTGTTTGCTCCCCGGCGTAACTTGGGATGGGATGGGATGGCTCACCACCTGATCCTAAGTAAATACGGGGACAGGCCACGCCAGGCAGCCAAAGGGACACCCAGATATCCATGCATGTGGGTGTATATGGATATAGTTACACTCCAACAAAAAGAATTGCATTCATTTTAGCAGAAACTTCACACATTTTGTATGTAATATTTAATTAATTTTCAAAAGTTTATTAAAACTTGCCATGCTTATAATTATTTATTCATTTATTGGCTATTGGTTCACCTCTGATAAAAATCTTCAAATTGTTTCATTGAATTCCTCTCAGTGTATTTACTCGTAGGGTTTTTTTATGCCTCGCGAGCTCGCTTTTCTTTTTAATTAAATGAAACCGGAGGAATTGACCCAAAACGCAGAATAAATAAATACTTTAGCGAGAGGCTGAGACTGTGGTGGGGTTGGAGCTGAGGCTCGAGCTGGAGATGGGTTTGTCCTTCTAAGCATCTGTTGTTCCATGTTCGCCGCTTGTTTTTGTTAATAATTATTTCACTTTTTTTGCCCCCCCCACCCCCTGCCGTCCAACTCAAGTCGAAGGAGGTGGAAAGAATTCAAAAGATGCCGCATAGCCATTGTTTACTGTAGAAACAAACCCAAAAAATGCCAACAACAAAAAAACATAGAACCAACAAAAAATTACGAAAAAAATATAACAGAAACAACAATAAATATTTCACCTTCAATAAATCATTTTTCATTCCGCTGCTGGGTATCATACCCGACCCCCCCCCCCCACACACCTGGCCCCTCGCTGTTGAAATAAAAAGGGTTTCGTGTCAGCCTCCAAAGTGTTTTTGAAAATTCAAACAAATTTAAATGTTTAAATAAAAATAGCAAAAAATTACCAAAAATCGTTGGGGTTTCTCATTTCTTTGGCGGCGGAGCAAGTGTGATGGTCGCAGTTTTGCTCTCTGGTTTTAATCATTAATAGATAAATACAATGCGTACTACATGAATCAGACATTTTGAACACACAGAAAAACAGCTCCGGCCATCCGGATCCCGGTTCGCATCGGTTCGTCAATTTCTATGCAAACTAGTAGCAACATTTTGAACATTCTTCCACGATTGGAATGATCGATAAAAAAGTAGTTTGCCCTTGTGGGAGAAACTAGTTCCGTTTGTTATTAATAAAACATATACAGCAGAGCCCATATGGAAACCATTAACAACCCATTTCTAATTTCGAAACTCAACTTAAATGCAATTACATTTATCTTCCAAAATGACAATTTTTTGGTTTGTTTTGAACGTAACCAAATTTGAGCCACATCATTTGTCCTCAGTGGGATCTGGCCGAGAGTGTAATTAATTAAGCTCTTGAACCGCTTGGGATGTGTCACCTTTTGCAGTGTTACAAAGGCACCTGCCTGACCATCATATTCATGTGTGTGTGCAAGGATATGACTTGTGTACATATGAATGTGCATCTGCATAGGTCGCACTCGTCTCGTAGTTGCTTCGTTACACACACATAACTTTTGGTTGGACATTGGAGAAGTTTCTGGTTGGTTGTTTGTTTGGCCGGCTGATAAATTGCCACTCAAGTGGATTAAAAATGTTTGCAGCCGAATAAATCTGTGGCCTCGACCTGGACATTTTTCATGCAGTGAGGCTGTGGCAGTGCCGCAGTGCATTGGATGCCTTCGGAGGTCTGTCTGGGCCGTGTCCTCCGGTCGCATATTAGTTAAACTTGCAAAAAAGTAATCCCAAGTCAAGTTATGACAGAGAACAAAAAAATAAACGTTCCACCCAGCCACAGACACAGCCCCAGCGCCAGCCTCGAAGAGTAACACAAATGAAAGGTTCAGGTTCAGGTTTAGGCGTTTCGCTCTATTGGAATTCACCCTGGCCCTGGCGTACTTTATGGCAGTTTTTGGGGACTCATCAGCGACTCGGAGCAACTTCAAAGGGCCTCCAGATGTAGCGCTTATTAGCTCGTCGGCATTTTTCTGCATGCAAAGGCATTTTTGAAGAGCGCTCATCTCATCTCCGGACTCTGCTTGGGTTCAGGTCAGTTCGGTTCGGTTCGGTTCAGGTGGGTACGGGTTCGGGTGGGGTCTTCACTTTCATATGCCCCCACACACAATGTTTCCATTTTGTTTTACAACTTTCAAGTTTTTCGGTTTTCGGTTTCGTGTCTCGTTTCGTTTTTTTTTTCGTTTCGCTTCTTTCGAATCGAGGGGGAGGGGGCTCCAAAATATTTTTCATGCATACATAAGTATGCTCGGGCACATTCATAAAATTCAGATTAACATATTACTTAATCGGTGAGGCTCTCGCCATCAGCATTGCCCACTCCTGCTCGCACGAATGCTGTAAAAGACCTTGGCCCAATGGAGTACCAGTCCGCCATCCTAGGCATCGGACGTTTGGCTGACTCCAATTCGACCAACACGCAAGTAAGTGGATATCTGTTCGGATATTCTGAATTATCTCTGTCTGCATCTGTTTATGAATATCTTTCAATAAATGATAGTTGTAGCCTCATTCTGCAGGGGGGGTGCGCTGAGCAGGCGGGGTGTTCTGTGTTTGGCGTTAATTTTTGGCTTGTCATTTATATATCGGCACTGTGGTGCCAGTGCTGCCAAAGTGTTAATTTACACAAATTATCGTATTAAAGCAAAGTAATTAAAGCTGCAGTACCTCGCGCCTCGATCCACTGTGCCCATCCGACTAAAGCTTGATGTGGCCAAAAATTTGCGCACTGTTTTAAAACGAAACCCAAAGTTAATGTCGATGCTTGATGCTTGGTGGCGAGCCCAGCCGATGCTGAGTGGCAAAAAGCGACACCGCGCGACACCGAGACATCGAGGCACACACAACAAAAAAATACAAGAATTAATGATGTCGAGAGAGTGAGAGACAAGGTAAGGTAAGGTAAGACACAAATTTTGGTAAACAAGTTCGGCGCACGAGTTGGGTTGGCCAACAACAGCAAAGCCAAGTCGGATTCGGATTCGGATGCTGCTGATGTTGTAATCTTAAAACTGGCAGCGTCGTGCGACAGGCAAATCAGTTTCAATTCAATAGCCAACGCAATGGCAATCGTCGGCACGCGGACCTTGCTGCTGCTCTTGATCCACTGCAGCTGGAGTGGGGCACGTAATTCGCAGAGCCTGCACGTGCGCCTGCCGCACGGCGGCTGGCTGATCGGCCGCCACCTGACCACGCACAATGGCCGCCACATGAGAGCCTTCATGGGTGTGCCGTACGCGGTGCCGCCGTTGGGCGACCTCCGCTTCCAGCCACCCCTGGCCGAGCCTGGCTGGGAGGGCGAGCGGCTGGCGGTGAAGGATGCGCCCATATGCATGCAGCGGGATCCCTTTCGGCGCGACATGCAAATCGAGGGATCCGAGGACTGTCTCTATCTGAATGTGTACACGCCGGAGAACACGATCGACGCGACGAACAGCACGCTGCCCGTGATGGTCTGGTTCCATGGCGGCGGCTGGCAGTGCGGCTCTGGAGTTAGCAGCTTCTACGGGCCGGACTTTCTGCTGGACCACGACGTTGTCCTGGTGTCCGCCAACTTTCGTCTGGGGCCGCTGGGCTTCCTCAGCACAGAGACGCTCGACTGTCCGGGCAACAATGGGCTCAAGGATCAGCTGGAAGTGCTGCGCTGGGTGCACACCAACATCGCCTCCTTTGGCGGCAATCCGCAGAGTGTGACCGTCTTCGGAGAGAGCGCGGGCGGAGCGAGCGTCACCTATCACATGCTGTCGGAGAAGTCGCGCGGCCTGCTGCACCGCGGCATTGCCCAGTCCGGCACCTACTTCAATCCCTGGGCCCAGCCCGCGCACAAGGGTGTGGCCGCCAGGCGAGCCACCAAGCTCGCCGAGCTGGTGGGCTGCGGCTCCGCCGGAGAGTGGGCATCCAAGCTGAAGTGTCTGCGCCAGAAGCCAGCCAAGGACATTGTCGCATCGCTGTACAACATGTTTGTAAGTACATTGCATAGAATCCTTCAAAGGATTGGGGGCAGCTCACCTGTCGGATGGTTTTTTCTTTTTTTGGTGTAGGTCTGGGACTTTGATCCCATGATACCCTTTCCCCCGGTGATAGAGCCCGAGCATGAGGAGGCATTCTTGACGGTGCCGCCGCGCCAGGCGCTGAGGCCGCATGGACTGGAGCTGCCGCTGCTGGTGGGCGCCACCGCTGAGGAGGGGCTGCTGAAGACGGCGGCCTTGCTCAATCTGCCCCAGCTGATGGACGACTTCAAGGCGCAGTTCGAGCAGGTGCTGCCCGTGGTGCTGAACTACGATCATCACGAGAATGCCGTGCAGCAGCAGATAACGAAGCGCATCGAGGACTTTTACTTCAAGGCGGGCCACGACTACGACAAGTCCAACCATCAGAACCTGACCGATGTGAGTGGTGCATCTGCAAGAGGATTAAATCCACGAATTTCCATCTCCATCTCCATCTCTCGCCCCTGCAGCTCATTTCGGATGGCTGGTTCGTTGCGGGCATTGATGAATACTTACGTCTGCGCCTGTCCCAGAGTGGCGGTCCCACATATGTGTACCTGTTCGATCACAAGGGAGCCGCCAGCTTCTCGGAGATCTTCAAGGGAGAGCGCAATGAGTTCTACGGCGCCTGTCACGCTGAGGAGCTGCAGTATCTGTTTCCCATTGGCCGTGAGCTGTTCGTGAGTGCGGTGCCCACACGCCAGGATCTGGAGCTGCGCGAACTTATGCTGAACATCTGGGTCAGCTTCGCCCGAACGGGGTAAGTTTTGCCGCAGTCATTTAATGGAATTTTCTAATGAATTTTCCATATCCACAGCAATCCAAATCCAACGAATGCCTCACTAAACCTGCCCATATGGCAGCCTTCGTCCAGTTATCCGGTGGAGTTTGTTCGTCTGGGCAGCAAAGCTGATGACGCAGAAGCTGAGTCGCTATTCCGCATTGAGGCCGAGTTGATGCAGCAGCGCGTTAATTTTTGGCGCGACCTGGAGCCGCATGTGCCCGCCACACATCGACACAATGAGCTATAATCCAATGAGTCTATCTTTATGCATATTTACATTATTTTATGTTATTATATATATCGGTGCATGGGCGCCCACTGCAAGTGAAAGATGACAAGAAATGTTCAAATTGCATTTATTACCATTGAAAAAATCACTTTTCTAACATAACGGCGCATAGATGCTGCCAGAGTGGTGAAACTTCTACGTGCCAGATGTGGAAAATATGATACAAGCCTTGTATAATGTTGCCATATCATTGAGAAATGGTTAAACGGTTAAGTAAACAAATACAAAAGCTATGTATTTGAATATAAATAGAATACGCAGAAACACATACAACAGATGGTAAATAAAATCCATTACTGTTGTTACTTCTTCCCTTCCAACTGGGTCCACTGGTCGTACCATAAACGAATAGAAAATAGATAAATTAACAGTTACTTATGCCCGAAATAGAAATATCGATAGTCAGCTGCTCGGTGCTCTACGAATGTACAAATGTACACATGTTAATTTGTGTATATAAGGGATTGTACCTACACAAGCTTGAACATGGGCATACAGAAAGTGAGGAAATACCCATAGCATTTGAATTTCATTAGATTACTCATAACTGACATCGTCCAAAGTCTGCGGCGGCCATAGCAAAGAAGGAGCTGCTATCTGTATCTGATTGCCACAGAGCGAGCGGAACATACTTTCAATTTCCGTCAGATACGAGAAGCATTTGCGGGCAAACGCAATTAGAAATCCCACGTGAACTGACGTACCGCCGACCCCCTAGGTCGTCGCTGCTAAAACACAGATTGAATCGCGGCGCGGTATAAACCAATGCCCAGCCACTCACTCACCTGATAACGAATTGGTCAAATAATCAACAGCGAAACCGCGTAACCATCAGTAGCAGGGCGTAATAGTTTCCAGCCAGTCACGCCGCAGATGCACGGGTTAATGGATTATTAGTTTACGCCTCTCCACTGAATAACACAGCGCCACAGCCAAAGATACAGACCCGAGCGATAAGGTGCAATAGAATCTCAAGCCAAACGGTTTCCCCAGTAGATTGCCAGCTATGTCTGCGAACGGTGGCAGAGCTGAGACGACGGGCGCCAGCAAGCCCATCGACATACAGGTACGGGTGCCCACGCACGAGCGCCTCATGTCCATCGACAAGGGCATGGCGCCGTCCTCGCCAACGCTGCCAAGTCCCACTATACGGCGGAATAAAAGCGACGGCAAACTAATGGCCCAGGACATCAAGGAGGCACGGGTGCGTGTCATCTACACGGGCGGCACAATCGGCATGATGCGAAACGAACGAAATGGTAAGCATCTGCACTCTGTCCTCTGCTCTCACTCATCTTCATTTTTGTTGCCATTTCAGTGCTGGCGCCCATACCCAATGCCCTGGTGCGCAGCATTCGCAAGTATCCGAACATCCACGACGAGGAGTACGCGCTGCGACGCTTTGGCGCCTCGGCATCGATGGCGCCGCTTGTCCTGCCCTTTGTCCAGGGTGTGGACAGAAGGGTCCTGTACCAGGTGACCGAATATACGCCGCTGCTGGACAGCAGCAACATGACGATGAATGACTGGGCGCGCATTGCCAACGATATACAGGTGGGTGGGCATCAGCGCTTCGCTAAGAACTAAACTAATCGAGCAACTAATTTAATTGTCAGCAATCGTACGAGTTCTTTGACGGCTTCGTGGTGCTGCATGGCACCGACACGCTTTCATACACCGCCTCAGCGCTGTCGTTTATGCTGGAGAATCTCGGCAAGACGGTGATCATCACGGGCTCACAGATACCGATCTTTGAGACGCGCACCGATGGCAAGGACAACTTCACATCCGCTCTGATCATCGCCGGCAACTACATCATACCGGAGGTGTGCATCTTCTTTGGCCACAAACTGATGCGCGGCAATCGCACGGTGAAGGTCAGCTCCAACTCGCTGGACGCTTTCGATTCACCCAATGTGCCGCCGTTGGCAAGGATTGGCATCGATGTGAATGTGGACTATCGCCTGATCTTTCGGCCCTGCAGCATCGAACGCTTCTGTGTGCACCTTAATCTGGACGAGAATGTGGGCCTGCTGCGAATCTTTCCGAGCATTTCGCTCTCCACATTCCGCGCCTTCCTGGCGCCCCCCATCCGGGGTGTGGTGCTGCAATCGTTCGGCTCTGGCAACATACCCTCGAATCGCCGCGACCTCATCGATGAGCTGCAGGCGGCCGCCGATCGTGGCGTAATCATCATCAACTGCACCCAGTGTCCCAACGGTTCGGTGGCGGAGATCTACGACACCGGCAAGGTGCTTTGCGATCTGGGCGTCATTCCTGGCTATGACATGACCCCCGAAGCGGCCCTATCCAAGCTGGCCTATGTCATTGGCAAGGAGGAGTGGTCGCTGGATGTCAAGAAGCAGGTGAGCAACGCAAGCGATTCGCTTCCGTTTAGGACTTTCCAATAAAGTGTTTAATTCGCGTTCCAGATGATGCAGTCGAATCTTCGCGGCGAACTCACATCGGTGACGGCACCCAAGATGGAGGACTACGATTTGGTGGATGCTGTGGCGCGCTCTCTGCACTTGTCCTCGCCCCAGGAGCTGGACCAGCTGGGCGCCACCCTCTTCCCGGCCATGATCAATGCGGCCGTCGCCGAGGGAGACCTGAAGAAGATCAACAACCTGAAGGCATACGGCGCCGATCTGTCCGGCACCAATCACGACCAACGGACGGCCCTGCACTTGGCCTGTCAGCTGGGCAACGTCGAGATCGTCAAGTATCTGCTGCACAACGGTGTCTCTGTCCACATACGCGATCGCTACGATCGCACGCCACTGCTGGAGGCCGTCTCCACGGACAGCCACGAGATCATCCAACTGCTCATCAATTGCGGCGCCCACCTGACCGGCTCCTCTCGGGCCGTCGGCGAGCAGCTGTGCGCGGCCGCTGCCCGCGGCTCCCTGATGCGCCTCAAATCGTATCAGTATGCGGGCGCCGATCTCTCGCAGCCGGATCCATCGGGACGCACGGCGCTGCATGCGGCCGCCCTGCACGGTTTCCCCGAGGTGGTGGAGTACGTCCTGCCCTACTTCGAGAGTGCCAGCGAGAAGGATTTGCTCGGTCTGAGCGCCTTGGACTATGCGGAGCGTGGCGGCCATACAGCCCTTGTGGATATGCTGAAAGCGGCTCTATGTGCAGCTTAGAAATTGTTTCTTTACTCATGCCACCGTTACTTAAGTGTTTGCCTCGTGCAACATCTGTATCTGTGTCTGTGCTATATTGTGTCTAGTCTGGATTGGTGGTTCCTCTTAGCATAAGACTTAAACTATTTGTTGAGTGTGTAAATTAATTATATAAATGACTGTTAACAGAAAAAGTGTTAAAGTTAATCTTGAGTTTACTGATTTCCAGAAAAGAACAGAAAACTACCGAAAAGCGAACGAATCATGCATTTCATAGCATACTTTTGGGCGTTGAATTCATTTTAAGTGCATTTGTTCCACTGTAGTAGCTTAATTGTTCCTAAAAAGTCGAAGATCTTTACTTGGGGAACCTACTTTAGTGTTGAAAGTGTTCCCAACTGTTTTAAGTGTACGTTTTACCACCATTCTGTACTAATTTAGTTGTATTGCTGTGACACGCCCTCATGCTTTGCTACTGCTTTCTCGCTTCTTTTCAAATCGATGTTGAAGAGAGCACGAAAGAGAGAGAGAGGGATGACCATAGGTGGGAATCATAGCTGGTTGTTTGATGTATTTTTTTTTTTGGTTTTATTTAAATTTATTTCAAATGATATTTGATGTTTAATTAACAATGTTTCATTTTTTTTCCTTTGAGAAAAAAACACTTAGGTTCTTAAGATTTCATGTTTTAAGTATTATAATTTTTGTTTTGTGTAACACCCCCGGTTCGTTTTTCTTGCTGCTTTTGGTTTGTTTTAACCATTATCTTTCTGTCGTGCTGTCGGGGGGCATGTGTGTTCTGTATGATTTCCATTAAATAATTCAATTGAAAGTAAGACAGGGGGATTGGTAGTGGGAAGGGTGGGGGGTGTTTGGTACAACAACTGTTGAATGCTGATCTCAAAATCCGTTGCCACATTTTATTATTTGATTTTCATATATCATTTTATATATATATATATATATGTATATATCTATATATATAGATTGTATTTTTTCTTTTTTTTTTTTTGCTACAGCTGACATCAAGTACATTTTGCTTATGATTTGCCTTTTTCTCATTTTCTTTATGTGTGTGTATGTATGGATGTGTGTGTGTGTGTGTGTGTGTTGTGTTTTCTCCTCGTTTGTTATGTTGTCATTTTAATTTTCGCTTCTTTTATCTTTATATTTATTTATAGGTTTTTCTTTTCTTTTCTTTTTGTTTTTTATTTCTAGTTTAAACATTTAAATACGATTTCCACATGCCTATGAAAATACAGCGCTCATACACGCATGTGTATATGCTCGTATGTATATATATATAAATCTATATACCCTTTCAATGCTTTGCAAAAAGTTAAACAAAAATTAAAATAAACAAAAAACAAAAAAAACAGCCAAAAACAATCGCAATGAAGAATAAGGAAATAGTTGCTCAAAAACAAATCAAAGAGAGATTGCTCCTCGTTCTCTTTAGCTTCGTTTTGTTTTTACATGCCTCAGAGGGTGGGGTGGGGGCGAACAAAGAGTCTTATGTGAGGTGAATGGGGAGGGGGCGCTGCGAAATATAATAAACCATATCAAAATTTTGTGTTTTTGTGTGGGCTGTGGGCTGTGGCTTCTTTTGTCAAATGTTTATAAAAAGTTGATTGATTTTTGCTATAGCTCTCCTACCCTCATCACATCATCCTACATATCTTCTGCATCGGCAGATACAATTTCAAAGCTTACAATTTATCCATATCCATATCCATATCCATAGTACATTTGTATGTAGTTTCTGGAATTGCTTTAATTAATCTTCAGACATATTCCATTTATAATATGTGATACATATAGATCGCAAGTGTATGCTCATATATTCGATAGATTTTCTTGCATTTAATTTTCTGAATTGTTTTTAAATTATGTATGGGGGGTGGGGATGGTTCTTCCAATTTAGCTACTCAGTTGAGAGCGGGTTGGTTGGTTGGTTGCTTTTGCTTTTGCTTACATAAATTCTCCACATCAAATCTATATATTTAAGTATCCAAACATACGTACATACATATATATTTATATAGCAATACATTTGTAGATTTTAATGTGAATGTTTGGGACTTTGTAGGATTGTAGGTTGAACCGCTGAAATGACTAAAAACGAAACTACTTAAATGCAAAAATGCCAGCCGAAAAAAATAACTTATGGGATCCCTATACATTTTCTTGTTATATAATTCCCTTTTAATGTATATGTGCTAATGGTTGGGATGGGGGCGATGGATGGTGGCAGGGGGAGAGAGAGACAGTGGTGGATAGTGGGTGAAGCAAACTGTCCTTTATAGAGAGCGGCGGTGGCCTGGCAGAGCCGTTTTTGTTTTTTCGTTTTTGTTTTGTTTTCGTGACTTTCTTTTATTATTTATATGTATGATTTCTCAAAGCGCTTTTTTGAATTTTTGTAATGCATTTTGCTCGTGCTTTTCCTTAGGTATGCTTCTTCTTAGTTTTTGCTTTAACAATTAAATTTATCCATGTTTTCTCAAAGCAAAGAACAAACTCAATTAAACATAAAACTGAAATCGGTTTGCTTCCATTAGCAATGTTGGGTTTGTTTTTGCATTTTGTCGAAATTTTGGTTTTTAAAATAAAGTTTTAGTTTTTAAAAAATACATATGTCTGATTGAAAGAAAGAAAATAAGAGATACCGAGTTTCCAATACTCTTGACGTTAAACAATAGTTATCGTAAGAAATTTAGTAATATTAGCTCAAAAAAAAATATATTTAAAAAAATGCAATGGAAAATCTGAGCAATGCACTTTTTTGATTAAACTGGGTTTTGTAGCTGTTGTTTTTGAATCATTTTAAGAATTAATAGCTTCAGCTGCGAAGCTTATTTACTTTCTGTTCGAGCGCAGCTCCTTTCTCTTCTCTCTCCTCAAGAGTTTCCTTTGCTTCCTCTTCTGCTGCTGACGGTTTTTGTATCGCCTATCTGTATCTGTATCTGTATCTGCAGTTTGCTGTCGCTTCTGCGTACGTTCGTTGTTATTGCTGCTATTGCGTCTTGTTGCGGTTTGATGGTGCTGCTGCCCTCTGCTGCTCTTCTATTTCGTGTTTTGTTTTGTGTTTTGTTTTCTGTAGTTGTGTAGTTGTTAGTAATTCTGCTGCATGTTGGATAATTTATGGCATTCAGAGCAAGAATTTGCCCAGTAAGAGACCCAGGATGGCCGCAGCAATGGCAATTGCAATATAAAATACCGGAATCTGTTTCTCAGCCAGCACTGGGGCATAGGGCTCGTTCGGTTGCTTGAGGACCGCTGAGCTGCGATAGCGTGTGAGTTGATCCTGCAATCAGAAAAACATTTTAATCATAAAGTCCATTTCAAGAATGAGCCAGGGCGGTGAACCCACCTTCAAGTATAGAACTTCTTTACGTAGTTCACTGTTGGAATCCATCAGCGCCTTGATCTCACCGGAGTCCACATGCTCAGTGGCATCGGGCGAATTTGAGGCCTATGAAGTACGTTTTCTTTATTGTTGAGTATTCTTTGGGGTTTGCTACGAAACTCACCTTCTCATTGCTAGACAACTTCGTCTCCGACTTAATGCCCTCGGCGATGACGGAACTGACATTAGTAACCGCATTGCCACCGCCGGCGCTGCTGGCTCCACAGCCCACGGCTCCGCCGCTAGTGTTCTCTGCATTTGCCTCAGTACTGGGCATCTCGAATACGCATTTCAGCTTGGCATCCATCTGCTGCTGCGGCTCCAGCTCCTTCCACTGCAGAGAGTGATATCGATGAAGATGCGAGTGTTAATGGGGTAATTGTTCGCAAACTACTTACCAATTTATTCAAATCGGTCAGGTCAGCATCCATCGGGGCGAGGACGCTTTGCACCATGAACTTGTGCTTGTTTTTCTCCTGCTGATCGTACATGAAGGGCTGCAGGCAGACTGTGGGAAAGTTGGTGAGTTTGTGATTAGATGGATTCCAAACTGTCAAAATATAGTACTTACTCTCCACCTGGGTCGAGCGAAGAGGCAGGATCTTCCCAATGTTTGGACGTACACAGTAGCGCTTTGGAGCTGTTGTCTTGATCTTGAAGACCAGTGGCACAGCCGCGTTATTGCTTAGGGTCATGATTGTGACGACGGACCGATTGAAGGGACCTGCAAAAAGAGAAAGTGAAAACATTCGCAACATTAGCAATCAATCGAATTAACAGACATGCCACCCACTTCTCTTCCCCCCACCCCTCATTCCAAGCAACAACTGATTTGTGTCACGTCACGCCCATTGCGTCATTAGCCAAAGTTGGCAGCACCAAAAACGAAGGCAAGTTCAAATTAATTGAATTAAAAGCAGAAGAAAATAACAAAAAAAAAAAACCAATAGCTCGAAGCAGTGCAAGGGAGAGCAGCGAAAAGGAGCCGAATCTTGAATACCCTCCCAAGCCATATTGGCGGTAAAAGTTGAAGCAATACCCAATACAACTTCGGAAAGGATTGGATATATTCCGACAAGATAATTTACATGGAAAATTCGATTATAGTTGCGATCCACCAATGGGTAGAGCGAACAGATAAGCAGTGTAACGGATTCCTTTTACTGCTTGCGTGTTCTCCCAATACGCGTGTACGCTGTGTGTGTGTGTGTTCATGAAGGAAATTTCATTAGACAAAGTCTCGTCATACATGTGCTTCGCCCCCCCTCCACCAAATCCCCCTCACCAAACACTTTCCACTAGTCAACGATCAAAGGAGGAGGTAGGGCGGAGGACAAGAATGGGGCTAAGGCAGGGCTGACATAGGCACACACACGCCTACAATGTTTGTGCACAGTGAAACAAAACAAAAGTAAATTTATATTGCACGAGCGAAATACAAAATAATTCTTATTCTCTTTCTCTGCCCTAATCACATCAACACTAGTGTTCTTTACACACATTTGTTTTGTGCTTTTCCAATTAGTAGCAATCGCGTAAATGCATTGCCACCGCCCACTGTGCGAGCTCTCTAGGCTCTGGCATATGGGATTATTGTTGTTGCTGCAACTGCTGCTGCTGTTGCCTTCTGGCCAAAATTCAAAAAGACAAAAAATTAAAAATCAAACAACGGTCCATGACAAGTTTTTGCGTATAAAAATAAAATTTTAGCCAAAAAACGCAAGGAGAGAGAGAGAGAGAGACAGACGGCGAAGACGGTGGAGAGCGCGAAAGAATAGCGAGAGTAAGAAAACAACGCCAGCCAGCTGCCGGCAACAAGAGCACATCAGTGGAAGAATGAAAGAGAGACAGCAGCATTGTCAGAGACGGGCGGGCGGGACGGTACAGGACAGGACAGAAGGAGATGGATGAAAACATGGTGAAACAGCCGCACACCACACGTAGACCTAAAAAAATGTCAAAAATGCCCGACAAAAACAACGGAAATTATTGATAAGCTGCAAAAGAAAGCAGCGCCAAGTGACAAGGAAAGTGAGACAAAGACAGAGACGGAGGTAAAGAGCACCAAAGCGAGCCGCAACCACATATCAAGCGCCGTGTGTGTGTGGTGTGTGCTGTTGGTGTTGGTGTGCGTGCGAACTTTGCAGTTTGCTACGGGCACTTTTGACCCAACAAAATGAACGAATTTGGCAATAAATTGGAATTTGAAATTGCAATGGTTTAATGTTTAAATGATTGGTGCTGCCTCCGATGCGTCGTCGCCCACATTGGTCGATACATGAACAACATATGTATGCATGTATGTAGTAGCAATGGGTGTGCGCGAGTGTGGTTGAGCCAACATGCAAAATGGCCTTTCCCATCTCAGACGCTCACGCGATGAACGGATGGGAAGAGGAGAGGGAGAGAGAGACAAACAATAACAAATTGCTAAAGAATCCAGAGAGTTTCACTTTTAAATTGTAGCCAAAATGCCCCATAAAAATAATAATGAAAAACACTCACCGACAAAACGCAACTCATGCTCCGGATCAATGGTCAACGGAATCTCGAATTTTGGTTTGCTCATGGCTGCTGTTTGTATGGACTCCACTGTTGAAAAATTGCAACTTCTTGTCTGCCTTTTGGTATTTTTCGTTAATTCTTTTGTGCGTTTTTGCGCGCTGCTTGTCCTGGTTTCGCCTTCACCTTGTTGTCGTTGTAGTTGTAGTGGTGGCTGTTAAGGGAATGCGAATGCACACGAAATTGTATTACACACTCACTCAAACACATACACTAGCTAAGCAGAGACACGCAGCACGTAAAAATAGCTGATTTTCGCTTACGGTTATTGTTCTTCTTGCGTTTCGTCCCGGGCTGCTAATATCTTCCGAGCTAAACGTTTTTATGCTACCTTTATAACCTAATGTCCCGAATGTTAAATTTTTTCTCTTTTTGACTTTTCACAAGCTGCGCGTCGCTCGTTTGTCACTGCCTGCTACGTCCGATTCGTCAGAGAACGAAGCCAGGCAAAATATCGGTAAATTTGTGCGACCACACACACTCTCGCACACGGTTAGAATATAATGAAAATACCAAACACAATATTCCGTGTTGTTGCGTACAAAAAAAAACGACGATCAACGTGGATATCCTGCCTCGTGCAATGCAATTTTCAGTACAGTTAAACGTAGCACTTTGACTCTTTCACGCACTTCGTTAGTTTTTTCGTCGAAACTAGTAAAATTTTCATATGCAAATGCAAAGGCAAAAAAATTCAGTCAGCAGAAAAACGCCCGTCGAACGCATGCGTCACCTTAGAGTTCTAGGCCGACCGGCAGAATTGTTAAGCAACGCCGTTGACCGGCAAAATGTAGAAGCAACGCCGTTCAATTCAGCGTTGCCATACGGTTGCGTTCCATGCAACTCTGAGCAATGCTGATTTTTGTCGTTCAAAAATACCATATTAACCTATTAACCATATTATAAAATTGTATTTCAAATTGTTTTATTGTTAGCCGCATTGAAAATTCATTTTTATTTATAAGCATGTATCAAATTAGTTTATTTGTTGGCGGTAAACTCATCGCGCTTTGAGAATTCGAAGGTTAAATTTGTGGAATAATTGTTTAATCAGGCGAATTTTCCTTTAAACATGTAACGAGGTTAGATTGTTTTTTCATTTGATCATTTGTTTAATACTAAAATATTTCCATATGCCTTTATATGGCAAGGCGGGGGACTTTCTTATGTTTGATGGCGGAATTTGTATATATTTTTATATACAAAAAAGGTCGAATGTGTGTGTGTCGAATGCTTTAAAGATTAATTTTAAAATTAACGTGACTTTGGCGACTTCGCAGCCCTGTGCCTTCTTTCTTCTCTCTCCATTTCTTACTCCACGTTCGGAATGGTCTAGGAATCATTATAAATACGCTCCAAGCCCTCTAAATTTTTCGCCACGAGCATATTTAGGATCGTCTGAGCGGTTATTTCTGTGTGTTCAAAGCGGCATTCGCTCGGCGCCAATACAACAATTTCACGTATATGATCAGCCAGGCGATCGGACTTCGCTGGCTTCGACTGCTCCAAGTAACGCATGAAGGCGTAAAAGTAGTTGCGGAAGAAGAACTTGTAGGCAGCTATAGCCTGGGGAGCGTTGCACAAGTCGATTTGACGCGAGATCTCCGCCATGAGGGAGTGATCGGTTTTGTTCTCAATCGACTTGAAAAAGAGATTCGTCGCCTCTGAGGCGCTCGACTGCATTATGAGCACCAGGCACTTGTCAGCAAAGTCGCGATCTGTCGACAAGATATTTGTTATCTTCCAGCGCTCGCTCTGCACCGAAGTCTCCACCAGGGCCAACATCTTCTCGATGAGCTCTGCAGGAAAATAAATAAAGTAAGAATAAACGTGTTGGCAGAGATGCAGAGTTTGGCACTCACCAGGATCGCCGCTGAGGATGGTTGGGGAATTATTTTTATAATATTTTACAGCAAGGTCGAGGACATCAACGCGGTTTTGGTCGAAGGTGGATAGAGTCCAGCGCAGGGCGTCTATGGTCTTGATTAGCTGCGACAGCACGGGCCAACTGTTCCTGCGCCATTTGGTGAGATTTTCATACATTTCCACATAGGTTTTGGCCACCTGCAAGGTGTCTGGCGATGCTTTAGCCTCGGTCATTTCCTCAACTTGCTCCTTGCCGTTCGTTTTGATGTATTCATCGACCGAATCGATGTTTACAAGGGTCTGCAGGATGATCTCGACGAGATGAATGTCATTCGTTTCGGTAAACTTGGCCAGTCCGGCGGCCAGGGCCTCCAGATATCCGGCTTGGGCTGCCTGCAGCTGCTCGGCACTGTACGGCATGGCGCCCGGCTGAAGGTTCAGGCTGTAGTTGCACAAACCCTCGTTGATCCGCTCACGGAAGCTGCTACTTGAGGGCGTGTGCACGATTGTCTTCATGCCGTTCAGTATCAACGGATAGGCGTAAAGGGAGAGCAGAAAGTCGGTGGCATTCGGACGTGTCAGCATGTAGTCGTCCTTGAAGAGGCTGGCGGTCGTGCTCTTCATGTAGTTCATGGCGTGGGGGGCCAGCTGGCAGGCAAGGTTCCAGAATATGTCCATGAAACGTGAATGCGACATGGCCAGCTCGGCGAGTGACTGCCAGGCCATCTGTGAGTCTTCGTAGCAAATGTCCAGAAACTCCGAGAAGTTCGCACTCTCAAGCGGGTTGTCCAGTCGATTGAAGAAGAGAACGCGACGTGGGTTGGAGGCCCGATTGGAAAATGAGAACGCACCGCTCAGTCCCAGCTCATCGCGTAGCTGCAGAATCTTTTGCTTAACTTCCACGCTGGATCGTACGTAGATAAGCTGCACGACCTGACGCAGCACGGCATTGTACTCGCTTCTCAGTTGTTTATTTGCTGAAAGACTCAGGTCCTCGTCGTCTGCCTCCTCGGCCAGAAATGCTGCAATATGCTTGAAGATCAGGACGATGTGATCGTAGCCCAGGAACTTCACATGCTTCGTCATGGTGTCCACGCACTCCTCGCTCACAAAGCAAATGGGACGCTGAAAGAGTTCCTCCAGTCCGGCCAAGGTCTGCGCCTCGCTTATCTCACCATTGTCGCCGTCAAGGAAGCACAGCAATTCGCGCAAACTGAGTTCTGAGAGGCGTTTCTTGAACGACTTTGCCGCTGCGGCGAAGCCTTTCAGTTGTCCGCAAATCAAGTGATCGGCCAGCTCCGGCTTGTTCTTGTTGAGAAGGGTCAGGACACCCGCTGACTGGCAGCAGATGACCTCCTGGTAGCTGTAGAGCATCTGGTGGGAGGCAATCTCCAGCCAGCTCATGAATGTGCCCACGGTAACCAGCTGTAGGACACGCTGCAGCGCGTCCATCAGAATCGTGGCAAAACGATTCTCCAATTGCTCTGCATTCTCCGGTTTTGGGGTGCTTGTTTCATCGCAATCCATGAACCGATACATGGCCCAGTGTTGTGGCTTCTCAGTGGGCGGCTGAAGCACAGCGAGGAGCACATCGAGCAGCTGGTTCATGGCCAGTGCTAGGTAGCGCTTGCGAGGAGTCGGTAACAGTGCGCGCAAGCGATCGGTGCTGTCCAGCAGATGACGCTGCAGCAGATTAGCTGCTTGGTCCAGCAGCTCGTTGGCATTTTCCAGTTTGTAAAGAGTCATGGCCTGGCGTGCGGACATGAGGAAGCCCGTGATTAGCGGCAGGGAATCGAAATGGTTGGAGACCAATTTGGTGACGTTTTCGTTTAGATAATCGTAGTACTGGCTGGCTATGCAGCTCTGTCCGTAGGCCAGGAACTCGTTCAGCGGCTGCTGCAGACCGCATTTCAGGGCAATGGCAATGGCCACGACTGCCGACATGGGTGGTGTCAGGCCCACCAAGTGGACGCAGTCCGTATTGTAACGATCCTTCTTCAAGCACTCTGTGGTGTTGAGTAGTAGCAGGGCCAGGACACCGCGCAAATCGTTCATGGCCTCAGCGCCAGTCGGCTCGGTGACGATTTCGTCTTGGAGTTTTTCATGTGGCCGTTGCACCACGAGATTGTGCTCCAGCAGCACTTTGGTTACCACATTGCAGATCTCGGCAATGTGCTCGTCATCGCCTGTTAATATGAGGAGCCATTTTAAACAAATTTGTTGCCTGTTTTCCGCTATGTTTTAGTAGCTTAGACGTACCGCTTAAATACACGAATGTGTTCAGCTTCTTTGAATCACTGTTGTAGCGCTTGAGTGTGTCGCCCAACTGGGCAAACACCTCGCAATTGTCCAGCGGAGACACTTTCATGTTCTTAATCGTTGTGCCAAGCGTAAAAACAATTTAATTTTGACGCAAACTTCAGACAAGACGAAACTGAAATGTGCGTTGTGATTGGATTTATGCGATGTCAAGCGCCGATATCCCTGATATCGATATAACGACTAGAAATAATTGATGGTTAAATTTTATATTAGGCTGTTACCACGAATATGTCCACAATAACTGATAGCTGAACATAAATATTTATTTTATTGGGCTAAAACGAGACGCATTATTCAAAACTCGAGTATTGAATAATATTGAATGGTAGTCGAGTGCCAGCGTTGCCACCTAGCTGTGGTCGGGTGAAGCCGACTAGCTATTAATGCGCTCTTTAATGGTTTTAACAAACATTAGCTGTTATTTAATTTAAACCATGCAGACCTGTGCTTAGTTAAAGGTGCGACTGCATTATGTCAACCCGATGGAATCTGTAAATGTCGCAGTTTGGCGGGCTACAGCGATCCGCTGTCCGCCGCATCGATTAGTGGCCGCCTATCGGCCGGCTGCAGCAAGAAGCAAACGCAAATTTGGTCGCAAAAGGGCCAAGGCGAGTGCAAAACGAAGCAAACGTGTGAAACGGGTCAAGCGAAAGTGGGCCAAGACCATGCAATAGGCAAACTAGTGAGAAGCCGCACACTGCCAAGACTACAGCAAGGAGACTGCGGAGGATAGTCATCATGGAGTTGCGTGAGCTGCGCGCCAGCGCCAGCGCCACCGCCTCGGCCGGCACCAGCAGCAGCAGCAGCAGCGGCAGTAGCAACAGCAACTGTGGCATCGGTGGAATCAGTGGTAGCAGCGGCGGAGGCGTCGAACTGGGTGGCATCTGTATTGGGAGCGCCAGCGGTGGTGGCTTCCAGCGTATGCCAACCAAGGCGGATCTGTTCATGGAGCAGTTGAATGCCACAAATGCCAAAAAGGTGGCCCTGCTCCTAGTCCTGGGCTTCATACTCTACCACGGCCTGCTCAATTGGAACTACGGTGGGTGCTCCCCTCTCACACTCACACTCTCTCTGCATGTCTCTGTGTTTTCGTATCGATTTGTCCTGTTGAAAGTTATAATTGAATTTGCCCATTAACAGGCAGCGACTCCTGCCAGTGGCTGCTGTCGAAGGGCCGCTTCAAGGGCGACAACGAATGGCAGCCGTACGGGTGCATGGTGCACAAATACTCCCTCACGTGAGTGGCATTTCAAAATTGTGAATTCAATTAACATTTATACCCCACCCCCCCAAATTCCCACAATTATCATAGATAACTCTTTCTATCTCTATCTCTCTTTTCATGCAAATGACTCACCCACTGACTGGCCCACCCACCCACGGAATGCCACGCCATGCCACTATCTGCCGCACGGACAGCGATACTCGGCGATGCCTGCGCTACCTGGCCTTCTTCGACAACAAAAACAACTTCGTGTTCATTGGGGACGAGAGCGTGCGCCTGCTGTACGAGCGGTTCATCGAGCAGCTGCGCCAGCTGCCGCTGTCCTCCGACGAGGACAACAACGGATCATCGCGGGCCCACGACGACAGTGCAGCGGTGCGGTTCGAGGACAACAAGCTGCACATGCTGGCCCAGTACATCAGGGCCGAGGAGGTCAGTCCATCGCTCATCGATCGCCTGTACAGGCTGGAGGCCGAGAAGCAGCTGTCCTCCGTTTATGTGGTGGGGCTGACCTACTCGGGCCTGCTCGGCGGCAACATAACCGAGGAGGTGCTGCGACAGTACAGCGCAAATCTCACCCTGCTGGTGGCCCCCTTTCACCGCCTGGTGGCTCAGACATCGCGTGTGCTCTGGAAACTGGCTGATCGCGTGGACGAGGAGAAGCTGCCGCCCGCCTGGAAGCTGCTGCTCAATGAGGACATCGATCGGCTGAATCATGTGGCCCGCAACGTCTTTCGCTACACGGAGGCCACCGTCTGGGAGTCGGCCTGGCACATTGCCAACGGTCTGCTGGACGCCGCCATCGACGGCCATCAGCTGTGTGCCCACGGCCAGCGGCTGGAGGTGCAGCTGCTGTGGAACATGTACTGCAACGACTACATGAACTACAACGATGGCACCTGCTGCAGCAGCTCAGAGCCCCACACCACGCTGCAGATTGTTGCCTACGCCCTGTTCGGCGTCTGCATAACGCTCGTCTGCGGCATGTGCCTGCGTCGCTGGCTGCTCCATCTGCGTGGCCACACGCTTTACGTGCCACTGCAGCAGCATCAGCCGGATCCACATCAGCATCAGCCAAACAGCGGAGGAAGAGGCGGCGGCGGCGGTCCCACCCATGCCCTGTCCGCACTTATCATGGACTATGGCACACCGATGGTGGCGCTGTCGCTGCTCGGCCTAATCATGGCCTACTTCTACCTGTGTGACCGCACAAACTTCTTCATGAAGGAGAACAAATACTACTCGGAGTTCAGCTTCTGGATACCCGTGGGCTACGTGTTTGCCCTGGGGCTGTTCTTCACGGAGGACTCGCGCTTCACCAAGGTCCTCAACAGAGACCAAACAGACGAGCTGCGCGGCTGGATATTGCTGGTGGTGCTGATCTACTACATGACGGGCGCGCAGCGTGTGCTGCCCATTCACATGCACATCAAGCTGCTCATCTCGGGATACTTCTTCCTCACCGGCTACACGCACTTCACACACCTCTGGCAGACGGGGGGCAGTGGCTCGCTGTTTGTCCGCTTCTTCCAGGCCATGTTCCGTGTGAACTTCCTCAGCGTGCTGCTCTGCTTCTGCATGAACCGTCCGTATCAGTTCTACTACTTTGTGCCGCTCCTCTCCTTCTGGCTGTGCATCGTGTACTTTGTGCTGTCGCTGCCGCCGAGGATATCGTCCGCGTCGGTGGACTCCAATCCGCTGCACTATCTCTATCTGGTGTGCAAATGCATCGGCTGCCTGGGCGTCATCACGGTGCTGTTCATGTCCGAAGTCTTCTTCGAGCGCATCTTTGTGACGCGTCCGTGGAAGGCGCTGTTCGTCACCACCGACGACGATCTGCACGAGTGGTGGCACCAGTGGAAGCTGGACCGGTACACCGTCACCTTTGGCATGATGTACGCCGCCTGTTTCCACATTGCCCAGAAATACAATGTCTTCGATGACAACAACCATGGCAATATGTTTGCGCGTCGCACCTCCATCTCGGTGACGCTGCTGGCCCTCCTGGGTGTCGGCATCTACACGTCCTTCTCGTTCCTGTGCCGCAATTTGCAGAACTGCGAGGAGATCCACTCGTACATCCTCTTCATACCCATTGTCGGGTATGTGGTGCTGCGCAACATTTCGGGCATACTGCGCACCCGATATTCTAGCTTCTTTGCCTGGTTCGGGCGCATCTCGCTGGAGCTGTTTGTCTGCCAGTATCACATCTGGCTTGCCGCCGACCGCCACGGAGTGCTCGTGCTGCTGCCGGGCTTCCCCACGCTCAACATGATCATCACCTCGTTCATCTTTGTCTGCGTCTCGCATGAGGTGCACCGCCTGACGCATATCCTGCTGCCCTATGCCGTGCCCAATGACTGGCGTCTCGTAATGCGCAATTTTTTCATCTTTCTCATTGTGCTGATCCCTGTGGCCCGGTCCGATGGCATGTTCTGAGCACAATTGAATTGTCGCCAGCTCATTTCCCACACACAATCTGGGGGGATACGGAGTATGTTTGTAGAGCGTGCCATTGCTGTAAGCCAATTGTAGGTTAAACCTAATCCCTTATCCTTCGTGCAATACTTTTCTACTTTTCCTTCTATTGATTAGCTCTTTTTACTCAATTTGCTCAAAGACTGATCCTAATTCAATTCAAAATTAAAGTGCAAAATTTCGTTCTAGCTAAATTTAAACTGTTCAATCGCTGGAAACTGAACGTGCAATTGTCTTATAGTTGTGAAACGCAATATTTACATGCATATAAATTATATAAATATTTAGATAACGTGCAAATAAGTAAACAAAACATTTACATACATTTATTGATATATTTTATGCATGTGTATACCATCTAGAATTAACTTAGCCTTATGTACAATTTGCACAAATTACTTAACATTTCACCACTCATACAAAAAAAAAAACCACACACACACACACACACACGAAGCGGCAACCAAATGTATGTATAGCGCCAGAAAATAAAGCATTGAAAATACAAATATTGTATGTGATTGTAGCAATGCCATTAGCTGATAATGCAACTGAGTCCAATAAGCCCACATTGATGGGCTTCAGGGATAAATACTTTGGCTAATAAACTTAATCAAGCATAATATGATAGCCAAGTAATTGCATAACCTGTCAGCGTTTACGCTAATCTTTCGTTTCTACTTAATGCACAAGTCATAGTCTCCTCAGTGGGTATCCAAAAGTTGGCTCGACCTGGTGCGCAGGGGAGCAACAGGAAAGGGTGTCTCCATGGGAGGTCATTTACAATTTGGTTTCTTATAACTAACATTTTGTTACGTTTCTTCAGCTGGGATGTCTCCTTTTTTTCAAGTCTTCTATAAATAATCGCTGCAGCAAGCGATCCTTCGACAACTGTGCATCGAGTAGGTGTCTTGTGCACCCACAGACTCCCATTGAGAGTGTGGTGAAAAGCAGGGAAGCTTTCTTGCGCACCTTTCGCAGGCGTTTCAGCGGGTGGTCTCGGTCACGGCTTTGGGTCCTATAAATAACGGCTCCCAAGGCTAGCCTGAACGCAAGTCGAAGCTTTCAGGCTCTCGTTCTTCTATATTTATGGCTTGAGTTCTCTGTGTAATAAATGTAGCTTTCATAAGCTTACTGCCTGGCAAACATTAAGCTTTACAATGCAACAGAAATGCAGAAAAAGCTCCGAAAAATGCAAAGCTGCAGCTGTTTTAGCAAACTATCAGAATATAATTTTACTGTCACTTGTTGCCGCTAAATTTTGCATGATATTAACATTGGGTTGCTCTTCCAAAACAGTGGTGAATATGTTTGATACTAAGCATTGATCGTGTTTTAATGGCCTCAGTAGGGTGAAGCGTTGGAAACTTCTAAAAGCATGACATAAAAGTGCTGAGAGAAAGAAGAGAAGCGCATCGCAAAAACTAACATGAAAAAAATCCCACATCCAGCTTCTTCCGAAGAATAAGACCGAGAATTTAATGCCAAAAAACTTGCAACAAGTGCATAAATATGGTAGCTTGTTTTAAACAAATTTTAACTGGAAAACAGCTCCTCAACAAGTGGTGGCTTAGTTGTCGTATGCACCCACACACCCACACACCCACACCAAAAGTGTGGTGAAAAACGGTCGTGCATGCTTGTCCAATCCGAGCACACGGAAGCTTCCCTGCCCACCTTGAAAGCCAGCGACTGAAAGTTATGCGACGCCGTCCTCGCTTCGGGTCCTATAAATACCGACTTCAGCGTCCCACCAGCTTCAGTTAGCGCCCGAAAGTACATGGAAACGGTTGGTTGGCAGCAACAGGAACAACACTCCCGAAGAGCAGAAAGAAGTCCGTCGGCTAAGCCAATGTTGAATGAATGCAATTGAGCTGCTGAAGTGAAGTTTTCCCGCGATTATTTGCTGCCACTCTGGCCTCTACGGTTATATCTTGTATTTCTGATTCTTTATATTTTTTGTGTGCCACCATAGAGTGGAGTGCTGTGCCCTTAAATCGTTTCAAGTCTAATTGGTTTTGCAGATCTGTGAAACTAGTACCTCAGGCAAGTGTTACAGAACTTGAGTGTCAAAATGTGCGTGTCTTTTGTAATCGAATTACTGGTTTTTCTTCTTGTTTCTTTTTTCATGTTTTTTACAGTGAAAACCAAAGTTATAAAAATGAAAACATCGAAAATGCTAATTCAAATCATCAAAATTTTCAAATCGAACTTCAGCAAATACAACTGCTATCCAATTTTTGAGTCCCACATTCAGTTTAAATAAACAAAAATTGGAAATGAAAATTTTTCTGCTATTACTATTAATTTATTTATTTATTGTACACAATTTTTTTCGTTTCCCATCAACTGGAAAGCGCATCGAGCCAGTGAAATTAACTCTATTGGTGTGTAGGCCAAACACTTATCCCAACACTCCCATTAATTGCATAAGAGGTGAGTGTGATTGAGATTTGTCTCGCTCTAATTTAATTACTTAAATTGTTTCTTATGGGTTTTTATTTGATTATAAATCTTTGAATATTCTTGCATGCAAGATGAGAGTATATATTTTGGAAGCGAGCTTCTTTTTCATCCATCTGTGGATGTTTGACCAACATCGAGCTTCTTCCTTTGCTTATTGCAACATTTTGAGAATTGAAACCACTTAATTCCGCGAGTTTGCACTACTTTATCTGTCCCAAAAACAGAATTAATTTCTCTATATCCCAAGTGTCTTTACTTACCAAACAAGGAAACCTTTAAGGCTGGTACATATCTTTTATTGTTGGAGCGGAGTCAATGATTTTGCTGAAATTCGTCTCAATTTTCATCTTAGCCTCGAAAGTAGAGTAGTCATAAAAAAAAGCGAAAAATGCTAGATTAGCTGAGATTTGATTTCAGGCATTTAACAGCCGTGAAATTTTGCAGACAACTGACAATGGGAATTAAATAAGTTTAAGCTGAGGTGGAAATATTTCCACCCTAAAATGTTACGAAGAGTTCGATTAGCTCGTCAAAGTCTCTCCGCTTGTGTAAAATTTCCTTTGGCTTCGCTTGGAAGAACACCAACCAATTATTATATTTAGAACGATTCACGTTGAGAAGCAAGGACTGTGTTTTTGACAGCTGCAGACTTTTCCAATATTCTTGAATGTTCGTTCCCTTTGCTACTTTTCTCTTTGATCCGCATTGAACTTAGATATAGATCAAAATGATTAAATATTTAATGAATGGATAGACATAGATCTAAAATGAATAAATTAAATGTAACTTTTTCCCATGAATGTTTTAGAATTTGGTGTTCCAATTTGGCTTAACAAAATATACCAAATGTGACCGCAAATAAGTTTTTGGACCCACACCCACGACCGAGCAAATGTTGGGTCCGATTTTGGCGCGCAAATCATTTGTTGTTGTCAACAAGTGGCTTCGGTTACTCGGGAAAACTACCCACACAATCTATCCCGAAAGTGTGGTTAAAAGCATGGCTGCACGCCCGTCCAATCCGAGCACACGAAAGCTTCCTTGCTCACCCACCTCGAAAGCCCCTTGAAAGCTATCAGCTGAAAGCTTTGCGGCATCCTTCGTTAGAGCTTCGGCGCGTGGATCCTATAAATATCGACTCCCCTGGCTCACAAGCTTTTAGTTAGCGCCTGAACGTACTTCGAAACGGTTGGTTGGCAGCGCACAATCCCCCAAAACCCCCAAAGTGGCAGCAACAGGAACAACACACAAGCTTAACATTAACGGAAAGCGCTCCAACGGCTAAGCCGCTGTTTGAATGAAGCAAAGTGTTCCCGCGTTTATTTTCTGCCACTCTGGAGTCCACGGTTAAATTCTGTATTTCTGTATTTCTGTATTTCTTATTCTTTGTTCTTTTTTTTTGTGTGTGCAGAGTGCAGTGCCGTGCCAACGATTCGTTTCGAGACTACATATTTTTGCAGATCTGTGAAAGTAGTACGTCAGGCGAGTGTTAGACAAGTTCAAAGTGCTAGTGTCTGTTGAATCTAACTACTTTTTTCCTCCTTGCTTTTATACTGTTATTCCAGTCAAAGCCAAAGGTTTAAAAAAGAAAATATCGATAAAGCTAACTCCAAAGAAAAAAAAGCATCAAAGCTAAGGATTTGGAGTGAATGCTGAAACGAAAGAAAAAAACACAAACACTGATTTGGTAATTGACACAGAAATTTGAATTTGGACTTGAAGTTGAAAACCAAGCTTTTCGAATTGAAACAACTGAAGAAGACGACGACTTCCATTGGAAATATCAGCCACTGGTGAGTGTGACAGAGATTTTTACCATCACTTTCTGTTGTAAGATTGATTGATGTTACGATTTCAAGTAGTTGATGTTTTTCATTCTTATTTTCAATCTCTTTACAATCATAGTTTTTTATCCGAAAACAAAATATTAGTTTTGATTAATTCACAGAGATTCAAATGGACCCAGCAGCAGAAGTTTTAAGCTGGCCAGCCGATTATTTCGTGTCGCAGTTTCCCAACACAATTATTTCTGAAGTGGCTGTTCGAGCATCTTTCAGATACATTCTGGAATAGTCCTTAGTGCTTTGCTCTGCTTTGGGTCTCAGCCAAGCCGCAACTAATTCACTGATATTTAACTTTTCCATTTAATTTGTGCTCTAATAAGCTGAATTCGCCAGAACTGGCTAAGGTAAGGTGCAGATCTCCCCTCACCATCTTCGCGTCTGAGGCGTGTCCTTGAGTGTCTAGCAGCTAATTAGAATAGTGTTGACGACTCGTCTTGGCCCGCTCTGCCGCTTGTTTTGATTGTGACAGACAGTCGCTCAGACAACGCTCGTCTTGACATACAATTTGCAATTTTAACATAAATACTTACATATGTACATAACCAAACCAAATTCGTATTAGTTTTTATTCATTTTTTGGCATTTACTTTCAAGAAACTATTTTTTGTTGATTTGGTGTTGATTTTCGAATTGTTTTACCAATCTCTAGTTGGTTTTTGCAGTTCAAAACTAGTTTGTAGTCTACAATTTCCCATATAATTTGATTTCAGCTAGAACTTAGATTTATTTAGTTTTAGTTGTTGCTTTATAAATTTCTAGAAACTATTTCTAGTTTTTTTTTTTGAAGTAGTTAATGGCTTTTTTATCGCTGATTCAATATGAGCATGGAAGTACATACATCATTCAGTCTTCCGCAATTGCCGCTCAGCAGTTCGTTCTCTCGACAGTTGTACCAATTTTTAAATATTTAGCAAATGCAAAAGAAAAAATCTAAAAACAACAGCCATGTCCGTTGGCTTTTTGCGCCAAATATTTGCTTTGTTTTACTCTAATGTACCCAAATATTTTGTTGGCTGGCTGCTAATTTAATTTGTGTTCTACTTCGCGTCCATTTCACTGTCAGATTTGGAGACATTCATAAAAAATAGCAAAGGTACAGAATCTGAAGGTTGGACAGGATTTCGTTTTCCTTTCCACAATCTGCATCGCATTCCCGAGGAGTACAATTTTTAAACAAATAAACCAAATGTTATTACATCCCCTTGGTATATTGTAAAGGTCTTGTTATAATTATTGTTTGCTT